GGGGGGGGGGGGGGGGGGGGGGGGGGGGGGGGGGGGGGGGGGGGCTGCAAGATTGCCGTGCGCCTTCTTCGGTTGTCGGCGCTCTTCCGCCCATGCATTTGCACCCGAACTGCTCCACTTGGTCTATCTTCGGCAGTTAGTTGTACACCATGGTTGCAGTTCAACACAAGAACCAGCACGTATACCCAGCTTGCAACAACTCGGGACACCACAAACACAAGAGCGCCCGCAAACATCATCAACGACAGCAGCAGCAACAGCACGAGCAGCAGCAACGACAGCAGCAGCAGCAGCAGCAAAACCACCACTGTGCCAACACCGGCGGCACATTTATCGGGGCAATGCTTGCGGTGTGCCCCTCACTCATCAGCCCTTATCCCTCACCGTCACGAGAGTCCCCTTCAGCTCGTCGAGCTCGTTCTTAAGGGGTAGCAGTCGGTGCAGCGACTTTATCAGCGAGTTCTTCGAAGTCTTGAAGGAGTCCAGCACCTTGGGGTCGAGAAGGGGTAGCGGTAGAGCAGCGCAGGGACAACACCTTTGCATCGGTTGGGTTCGGGGTCAACGGTAGGATCTAGGGTGTGGGGCAGGGGCGGTTTTGGAGTAATAGCTGCAGTCGTCCCTTCTTCCTATCGGCGAGCTGCGCAAGAAATTGACGTTCAAATACGCCAAGCCACAAGGTTCCATCGTCTTCTTTCTGCCACTCCCACAAAACAAAGCGTCGCGCGTGAGAGGTTAACAGCATTGCTTCTGAACGTATGCCCGATGATGTTGACAAACATTACGTTGTCCACGTGCAGTAGCGCTTTGAGTGAAAAAGCGTCCGTACCGTCATACCGTGTGAAGGGGCGAAAAAGCAGGCTCTACCAGCAAAGGCAGGTGCATCGGATAACGTTGAGGCCTTTAAAATGACCGTCAAAGCTATAGCGCCCTAGCACACAAGGCGACAAAAACAGCAACAAAACCATAACCTTCGTGAGTCTCGGTAGAGGGAAAACTTGAGCGTTGGAAAAATTAATAAGATAGCACGAAAGCGAAATCGTCATCGTAGCCGTGAGACGGAAAGCTCACCGTTCTTAACCTGGGCTCGACGTTCCGAGCGCTCTCTAGGAGGTCTTTGCACACGTGCTTGAGGCAGCATTCCATCACCGTCTGTTCGAAAGGGACCGCATTTATCCCCAGCTTTATCTGAATAAAGGAAACACACGGAAACGAAAACACAGACAAAATGTCGCTTAGTTTTGCTCCGCTGAGAAAACCGAAGTGCTTTTGATCGGTTATCGGTCAGCGCGACCGATGCGAGTAAAATGAACAGCCAGACACGCACCCGCCGGATGCGATATGCAATCAATATTAGTCGGCCAGTTGGATCGCGTGGTAGAGTAAAAACCGTCAAGAAGCAAAACGCCACAAAGCAATAATCACAAGGACACTGCGGTTCGACTTCTGTCCCGATAATAATGGCGCTGTGTCATTGGCTAGTCGGGTCGCCGCTGATGCTAGGTAACAAGACGCAAGGGCATTCATGTCAAACGTAAGGCATAAGGTAATCGTTGTATGCAGTAGTTTCGGACAGAAAATGACGAGCACAGGCGCACACGGAAAATGCTAAATGAAAAAAATAAGACCCTACTCTGCGGACTGTGGAACAGAAGCACCGTACTCCCATCGGTTCAACCAGTTGGTTCTGCCCAAACAAGCTTGAGGTACCGCTGTATGTTTTTAGCTATCACGGGTATCGTGATGTACCTCAAGTGTATCAAAACCGCGTCTAATTACACTCATATGCATACATATGTGAAAGAAATGTGACCTGCCCAGATAACAGACAGCAGAAACAGCACTCTTTCAACTTGTTGGCTACATGGTTAATTTGTTCCAAGATAATTAGCGTTACTGCTGTTGGTGTTTTCCGCCATTCATGAAAGATCTCAAGCTGCAAAGCGGTTGACCACTTTCGGCACTTTTTCCTGACTTTGCTACCAGTGTTTTTCGCCAGGCGTGAAACGCCTCAGGATACAACCCGACTCTTTTGTACCCCTTTTCGCCTACAATCCCCGCGTTGCTCGCTGCACCTTTTCTTGGACGGCAGGGACGATCGAAAGCACGTCAGGCTTGGTGGGAAATAGCAGCACCTCGTTAGATAAGATTACAGCCTGCGTCAAATCAAAAGCCACAAAATAACGACAGGCGGGGAGGGGGTCAGTACGAGGACATTGCACTTTCTCTCTGGGGAAGCTTTTTAAGCACTTTCACGTGTGTGTAACTAAACCCACTGTACAGCACCGCGAGCAAACCGTTGTCAAACCCTACCACACGAGCGCTGGTCGTGCGTCACTCTACATACATACCTCTATCGAGCCACAATAGAAGCGAAAGGTACAAAAGCACCACTCAAGGCAGTTATCAAAGAGGACGAGGACATGGACGTAACTACGCCACGACGCACGAGAGCACACCGCCGAAGCTCGTTAGGAGGTTCCTAAAGCGACTCTGCCGCGAGCGAATCACTGGTAGGGTGCTGAACAACCGCGAGCAAGGCGTTTAATGATGACAGACATCACCCCCCGACAGAAAACAAGACCGAGTGATGTTTTCCTGTTTTCCTACATTAATAGCTCCAAACGACCGGCCGGCCGGCGGTATTAATCACACGGGCGACCAAAACATGCCACACGTCCTGAGGTTCCGCGATACTCTCATCATTCCCTCCCCTCACCCTACAATATCACCTCGAACGTGTGGTATTCGAGCGTGGGGGCACGAGGTGTCACATCTGGACACATGCGCCCGCGTGATTTACTTGGCGGCACGGTATGATTTCCCTCGCACCAGCCTTGCCATTAACCTTTTAGGGAAAACGAGGTATTTTGTACCTTGGGCCCTCGTCAAGCATACCACGCTTCTCTGAGATTTCTAGGCGTGTCAGCATACAGCGCAACCCCTTTGCCCTCCTCCTCCTCCTCCCCATCCACACGGCGCACCTTGACCTCCCCCACCGAAAATATGATGGAGCCTCTTCTTGCCAGTACGGAGGGGAACTGTCCCGGAAACGTCGGGTCCGCCATCCTCAGGTCGCGCAGGGGGCAGTTCAGCTTTGCCGCAAGCTGCTGCCTCGAAAGCTGCTCGTGGGGGAGGGGGAGGGGGGGGGGTCACGTGTTGCTCGAACTGACCAAGGCCGCCGTTCGAAACACCCTCTGAGGAGGATCATATCATTTTTTCAGGATGCAGGTCTTTTTCGCACTCCTACATGGCGTTCTTGGAGATGATAAAAAGGGGGGAGTTATCCGACCGGTAGACGGGAGCTTGCCTCCTACTGGGTCTATAGGTCCCTTTCGGAACTGACCTCGCTCTCTTCAGGCCAAGGCACCGGGGAGAAAATGCGCCGAAGGAACGTGTATTCCGAAGGATGGCGCAAAAATCGAGGTTTGGAGGGTGCAGTCCCCTGGTACTGCTGCTATTGTTGGTTGGCGTTGCGGTTGATTTTTACGAGGCGTAAAGCAGTTACAAGACTCGTATACGGAACATCTCGCGGACTAGCGCGGAAAAAAAACGGCATTAATGGAGATGAAACCCCTGTAGGTATTGACAGATTCACAGTAGCGCCTTTGCCTTCGCGATGAGGCATCTGTTTTCTGATGGAACAAACCCAGACAACAGCAGTAGCGACTCACCGCAGTCTCGACCGCCGCACCGTCCGAGCTAAGCCGCAACACCGGCACGCTCCTCGAGGAGGGGTTGACCGGCCCTGCAGGCAACCCTTCCTGTAGCAACGGCGCCGAGGTAGCGACCAGGGGCGTTGCAGAGCCCTTGCTTTGCTCTCCCAGCGGCGGTGGATCTCTCGACGAAGACGTTTCTCCCGGAGACTGGAACCGATCCGCGAACGACTTTTGCGTCGGCGTTGCAGGGGAATTCGTCGGAACTGCTCGTGGGTTTGTTGGCGGGTCCAATGGTGGGCGGTCGCCGTCGTTGCTGTCAACACCGCCCCGGATTCGAGTCATTCGTCGATGTACCACCGTCCAGTGCCTTTTTCGATCTGCTGCCATCGTCGTCCATGTCGCTTGCCCTTGCGAGGCTGCGCGAGAGAGCAAAGGCGGAGAGCAATAGCGGGTGCTTGGTTGTAGGAAGGAGGACCGCCTTCGCATGCCCTATTCCCTAACCCTAACCCTAACCCTAACCCGAACCCAACTTCTCCGAATGTATGCTTTATCCAACATGTTTACTTTATCGAAAAATACTGCGAAAGCTACAGGGGAAGGAGAGGGGCGGGCTCAGGGTTTGGTCGACAAGACGAAAAGGGGAAGTTTGTGTGAAAAGTCTTGTAGATGTCGCTAACGACAAGGTTGCATGTCTTCTTGCGAGGTGTTTGCTTTGTTGTCTCCGTCCTTCATACTGCTCTTCTTCTTGCCCAGGGCAGAGGCGAGCGTTGTTCTTCCGTACGTGCCATGATGTCATGACGCCACTCCATCCATGCCATGCCGGCGCGAACGGGTGCACACTGAGTGACGGACCAACTAACCTCTTGGCTACACAACGCGACACGAAACACCCGACCGGAATCGCAGCAACTGCGCGGTGTGCTGCTACTGCTGCTGCTGCTGCTGCTGCTGCCGCACAAACGCCACAAGGTGTTGGTACAGTGAGCACGACAACACATGTACGTGTACAGGATGAGGAGTTGTTGCACTCGTGCTGCTGCGTCGAATGCACTTAAGTCTATTAATAGAGTAGATGAGGAATAGTCTAGATGTATGCAGCCACACCACCTTTAGAAGCGAGAGAGCTGATAACGCTAGTTCTCGAAATACAAAGAGGGTGTGCGGCAACAAACACACAGCGCATGCAGAAAGGACTATCCACTGGGGCAGACATCTATGTACAGCAGTCACACCCCGAATGACGAGGGGTGTGGAGGTTTGTGAGGGTGAGTCCACAGCAACACACGTGAGAAACTTGAAAGCCTCTCAGTGACCGACTCTTCTCCCATGTTCTCACATTGGACACAGATTGAGGCAGACACAACGGCTGCAAGCCACAGCACGCCTGAGGGGGCTCTCCGTGACGTTCCTCTCGCTTTTACCATGACGAGGGCGCCACCTGATGCGAGGGTCGACAACGGCAGCGGGCACAGCGGGATCTATCGGACTATCTTGCATTGAGGGCACCCATAGAGTGGATGGAGTATTCTCGGGTTGACGCATACCCTTCAGATGGCTCGGCACCTGATTGGGCACTATTCGACAGTCTAGTGCCGCCTGCGCCTGCTCTCCACAACCGCTTCTCATCCTTCTCTCTCCCGCCCTTCCCCCTCTCTCTGTCTCTCCCTTCTCTCTTTCTCTCTGCAGGCTGCCAGTCTACCGGCATGCCGGCTCAGCGAGATGACGGTCTACGTGTGGTATCGCTTCTGCCGTCCTTGACAGAGATTGTCTGCGCGGTAAGAGTTTGACCAAAACATGCGTAGTCTACATCTGGGCCATGTAAGCATGTATGCAGGACCGGCGGGTTCAGACCCGAGGGATCGCGCTTGGAGATCTCAACGATAGCCACGACCTTACGTCGAACTCGAGATGTACTGCACACAGAAAGGCCTACATCTAACGCCAACGATGCCATCTAGGCAGAGGAAACGACACGATGTACCGCGACAGGAGTTAGCACGGCGGACTTCAAGTTCGTATAGAAGAGAGTTATATGAACAAGTCCTACAAGGTACTTATTTACTGCTGTCTCGCTCCCAGTTTTGATGGAGCCAACGGTGTCACCTGTTTTGGTCTCTACTGAAGAGACTCGATCTGGGGGCAAACACGCAATTTATTGTGCGGCATGCGATCATTTTGAAGCAGAGAAGAGCTCAGCTGTTGGTTGTCTTGCATGCGTCAACGAGATTGATTGATGGGATTGAAGAATACAGCTATGTATTGCTCTACACACCGTACTGCTGTTTGGGGAACTGGCGAGCAGCGCTTGTTTCTCCGCGAGAGTGAGCGAAAAGGTTGCGCATCCACCAGCATGGGAATGCCACATTTCGTGAATGAACGCAGAGACGAGGCACTACACCACGATCACTTTATGATGTATTTTGTTGTCGCCCATACTGCTGTCCTTCCCAATGCCGTGTCCCGAATGCATTGGCACAAACTGAAAAAAACTCTCGTGGGAAGATCGGTGGGGGTCTGGAGGCGCACCTGGTTGGCGTAACTCACGAGTGTGACCACCCTCCAGCCGTGGTTGCGAGGTGCGAGCGGGTCACGAATTCGGAGATCAACCCTCACAAGATGTCTCAGGTACGCGTGCTTCGTATGTAATCAGCAAAATTTCGCGACTTTTCCAAGTCGGGGATTTGCTCTTCTGCAAATCCTTCACCGATCCTATTTCCCCCTCCCTTCGTGCTAGAGGGCTTAGGGGTGAAAAGCTCACCCGCTCTCGTGTTTTGAGGGGTTTCAACCTCACGTATGACGTGGAGAGAATCGCCGGTATGAAGACACCGCAATATGAGGTGATGGATGCGCCGACATCTCTTTTCTCCGATGGCGACACTGCCTGCCATGTTGGCCCTAATGATAACCCCGGTGTCTCATGTTGCTGAGAGCCACTGGTGCTACACAACTTTTTTTTGCACCAACCAGGAAGAGATCGACCGCCGCGTTCGGGGATCCATGAGGATGGGGCACAGCCTGTACGGGCTCGATGAGGGCCGTCTCAAGGCCGCTGATCCCACCGTAGTATTCACGCAAGGTACACTACAGCAGTACGTTGAAACCACCAACATTGCAGGTCCACAAAACAAACTGTTCAGTGGTGCACACCATGTCTCCCATTGCCATCTGCTACGCCAGCGCCGGGATTATCGCCGGACACGGACGTTGATCCCGGTTCAAGGTTACGGTATTCTCCCCTCGCCTGTCCCGAGCGTTCGAAGCTCCCGGGCAAGTATTAAACCGGCACTTGATCGAGTTTAACGCCCTTGTCCCGCACGAGAAAAGTCGTGGTGTAGCTGATGTGACACGCGCGTCCCGGTCAGTCGCCTCCTGTTGGCGCCAAATACCATGGCGCACACCCCAGTCGCTGTTACTCCGATGTGTTTCCGTGTCACGCATCCCATCTAGAGCGCCGCCCAAATGTTGCCCCCAGCCAGCCCCGTTGAGAGCACCTATACATACAGTTCTCCACGCATGCGCGCCTCGCCGTTGTCTTGTAGCGGAAAACGCCACCTACGCTGTGGCATGAATGATTGACCGTCGCGGCATGTTTGTTACAATGCCCCGTTTGTATAATTTTTTGTGTGTGTCACGAGCATAGTTGTGAAGCGTCTTCGGGGTGTTGTAATGATTGATGGAATCGCGAGTGCACAAACACCCTGTTTGAAATCATGCATTCATTTCACGGGTGGTCACCCCCACCTCCCCCGAACCCTTCTGCCTCCTTGTCTACCGGCAGCTCTGTGCGACGTCTGCGCTCCATCGTTTCCGATGGTTCTCAGCACCTGCGCCAGGGTTCTCGGCGATAACCCTAGGATCGTATCCATCGAGCCGGGAGTGAGTGTTCGAACCCACGCTGCTGCCGCTCTTCCCTCGCCAGCAGTAGCTCAGGTTCCATCATCAAAGTTGCCCCAGCATGGTGGACTGCAGCAGCAGCATTGTCCTTGAGTGATAGCTTTTCGAGGGGATGTGTGCTAGGCGGTACTTCGTGTATATCTTGGGCCTCGCTTAGTACGTTCGTTTTGCAGCTCCGTATCGCGGGATTTTTAGTCCAAGCTTGACATGCACCAGTTCCTCCGCCTGTGCTTGTGGGGAAAACAAGCTTACGGCACCACACAAAGGGAGCCGGTCCGGGTATTCTTTGACCGGAATCCCCTAAGTTTCCACCGGTCTTAGCGGGCTCCTTCCCTTCCCCGGCCTTCTGCCCTTTTGAATCATGCTTGCGCCACCTCTAGCCTGGCCCAAGTTCCAAGACAAAGGTTGTTTTGGACTTGATTCGATTGGCGGTGTTCATGAATTAAACTGACCGAAAATGGAGGAGGAACAGAAGAAACGCATGACCGCAACTCTTTACTGTATTCTCAAGATTGGATTTTTCTCCCTTGACCTGACCTTTAACCATGTCTTTTGTGCCGGCCCCCACCCGTCAATTTGTTCACCCTTACAGAGCGTCGCGGAAGTGATCGACTCTGTTCGTCTTGTTGGGCGCGAGACCGGTTTCGCGGAAGAGGGCATCGCCGAAGCCAGACGTCTGGAGGCCGGCTTCGACAAAATCAGATCGGTTGTCGCAAAACTGGAAAGCACCCTTGCCACGGCGGCGGCGGCGGCGGCGGCCCTGAGGCCCCCAGGAGCGGCGGCCGGGGTAGTGGGGGTAGCTCCCGGCGGGGCTAGTTCTGTCCCCAAGAAACAGAAGGTGGCGTTTTTAGAGTGGCTGGAGCCTCTCTTTAACGGAGGCCACTGGGTGCCGGATCTCGTGCGGGCGGCGGGGGGCGAGTACACGATGGCAGAACCCGGTGAGACGAAAAGGATTGAGGCGAGAGCAGCTTCGGGCGGCAAGGCACTCCCGCGACCGCACATGTAGCTTGTCTAGGTTTGGCTTGGGCTGTCTGGGGTATGGGGTCAAGTGCATGTGCTTGTCCTTCTTGTTCTTATGTGTGTCTTCGCAGTGGCCATCGCCTGGCTCTCTTGCCTTTTCCGCAAGCCCACTAACTATTGTCTTGTTGGAGGTGGACACTCTTGGCTGGCTGACATCTATCACTGGAAATAACTTCACAATAATGACGTTTTCGTTTCCAACCCCCCGTCGCACCGATGATGCGCACGCGCCTCCCCGTCCTCCATGGGAAACGAAAATGCGGTTTGGAAAAGGCAACAAGAGCATGGGCATGTCGGCGAAAGAGCTGATGGACTACGACGCCGACATCATCCTAGTCGCTCCCTGCGGCATGGACCGGAACCGAGCCAAGTCTGACGGGGAGCAGATGTGGCGCCACGACTGGTGGCGGGAGCTTCGAGCGGTCAAGGATGGGAAGGTGGACGGCAGCAGAACGCAGTAGAAAGGGGTATGCCGAAGATTGCATAGGATACTACACCCCCTGGATCGTTTGTCAAAGCTCGATTACTCCCAGTGGCGGTCCCGAAAATTGTGGCGTTGGATCGGGAGTCTCGTCGAGAGCTTTGCGAAAACGTTATCATTCGCATGCTGCATGTCGTGGAGCAATGTAGTCGAACTTTGGAAATCCGTCCGGAGGGTGTGTGGAATCTTGTGCAACCCATGGTACCTCGCACGATAACGGAGAGGGGATAGCAGTGTGGCGATACAGCAGGCAGGCACCAGCCGGGGCAGGGAGGAGTGACTGACGGAGATCAGAGCAACACCAGCGTGCGTAAAACTGCGAGGGTGAATCGGACACCGGTGTGCTTCAGTGCCGTTCGCTTGGCCAGATAGATTGGGCGGCTCCACACCGCAGTGACCACCAATGCCACGCCGTGCGTTTTATCGACAAGGAGTTGCTTGCCCCCCGAAGTATGGATCCCACCAGCGTGCCGATACCGCAGAAGGGAAATGTGTGCTTGCTACGCACTTGTCACCAGTAGTTTACATGCGAGAAGACAGTGTTCCTGCTTGAAGGCGTGCGACGTCAATAACCGAGACCCTGTACGTTTGGAGGACCCCACGCACGCACTCTTTTGGCGCTCGTTTGGATGACTCCCACGCACGCACACTTTTGGCGCTCTCGCGTGCGACGATAAGGCGTACTACACCAAACAGGGGTCCGGGATATGTCTTTCATTATCAACACACCTTTTCTCTCCCTGTACCTTGTTCTGACTGCTGCCTCTTCGGGGGACTTCAGGTGTACGCCTTGGATGGCAACGCCTACTACGCCAGACCGGGTCCCCGGCTACTGCAAGGTTGTGGTATCATCGCCAGGCTGTTGCACGGGGATGCCGCGGGGGACGCGATTGGAGAGGACATCGCCCCGCGCGACTCGTGGTTCATTATTACCGCCCCTGCCCCAGCTCAGAAGAAACAGAAGCACGTGTGCCCCGAACGGGGCGCTGATGCTGACGCTGCTTCGGGTACGGCGCCACTAGCCTCCACGTAGTCAAACGAGGGACCGGGGCACACATCGAGAGACAAATCGCGGCTGCAGCCACAACTACCCGTGAGCTCAGTAGATGCTCAGATTTTCGGGTTTTCGACGGGGTGTTGGATCGTTGTTTCCTCGTGTTGCTGTCTCCTCCTCTCCGACGACAAACCTTGCTCACGAAAAGCCCCGTGGAAAAAACCGCATGTCTACGCATGGGGTCATCTTTCCTTTCGTGGAGGAGTGTGCTTTGGGGGTGGGGGCGGTGGAGAGGGACAAGCTGTCAGCTTGAAGCAAAATGCTGTGGGGCCCGTGGGCACGCCAACTTTAGACGCGAAGACTGTCTTCCCACGCACCAGGTCCTCGTATTGATTCGATTGCTACGTTGCGACGAATGTCAAGAACGGTGGTGCAGAGAACAAGAAACCAATAATGAATTTACTTCCTCCCTCGGGTTGACTGCCCCACCAGAGTGCGGACATGGCCCTGAGAGTCGCTGGTGGTGTTTTGAGACGCCAACAGAGGTCATGACTCACGGCTAGAATTTTCAAAAATGCAGGAAACACAGCAGGCCAATGTGGCAGCTCCGTGTGAACACTCACGCATGCCGCTGTCGATGAGCTAAAGGAAAGCTTGGAGAAACGTGCCTCGAACAAGAATCAAGTCGTTGTCGTTTTTGTTGTTGTTGTTGTTGTTGTTGCCTTCACATTAAAGCGTCCCGTTCTCTCTACCCAGTACACCGTCCTCCGTCCGTACTAGTCTTGAGGTTGACGTCGATTCCCGCGTCACAGGCTAACTTGCCCAGAAAAGGTACACGAAAATAAAGTGGACCACAAGGGTCCGCAAGTCAATAGCAATCAACGATAGACAGTCTAGGCAATCCCCTCGCCTCTGCACGCTATGCGAGGTAACCATAGACTGGAAAAGGAAACAGAAAGAAGAGGGAAGGTTTGGAGAGCAGAGGGAGAAAAGGGAAAGAGAACGACACACACCAAAAAACAGACAACAACAGGACAGCACAAAACATCACAAAACGGGCCACCCGAGACGCATTTCATTGTTCGCAGGGGTTTGGTGCAATGGTGCAGTGACATCAAGGGGTTCAGTTTCGCGCCACTCGATATGCCTCTTGGCGTTTCCTGTCTTCCCTCGCCATCTCGTCCGTCTGCTGCAAGCGCGCCTCCCGCCCCAGTGGTCGTCGCCGTGTCCTTGCTGTTGCCGGGCTTGTTGTTTCGTTTGAGCGCTCGTTGTCGGCTAGCCTCCTCATCCTTGTGCCAGGAGGTCATGAACCTCTTGACTTGTTACGATCGATTAATGAGAAATGGTGCCGCCGCGAGCTCCCTGCAGTACCCTATGCCACGGTACACCCCGTTCCGTCTTCGCTGGCTCCTTCCAAGTTTTTTGCGGGACTCCAAAGAAACATGGCTCGGTGTCCGTAGATCCGTGCTCTGCCTCGAACATCTTGGGGTCGTCCTTCAGGCACGTCTGCCAGTTTTTGCTCCGGTTTTCCCCCTGCCTGGGCCCTCCCCCACCACCAGCTCGCCAAGCATCAATCGTTTCGGGAGTCGCGCGTCTGGCTGTCTTGCCAGCGCTCCCGCGAACAGCAGGCGCCGTTGCCGAACAGTGGCTTCCCCGCTCTGGCACACTACCCTCTTGAGGGTCTGGGCGAAGGAAAGCTGCCGGTAGGTGCCCTCCTTGTGTTGGTATCCGATAACACGCAGGAGCAGCCGGTGCAGCCGGTAGTGCTCTTCACGTGGGGCCCACGCCATATGCAGCCGTCCAGCAGTGCCTCCATCGCCTCGGGCTGGAGCGGGCGAGTCTTGAGTCGGAACGGTGCTCTCGGCCTATCGAAGAGCTCCTGGCCAAATCTCCTGATGCACGCCCACGCTGTTCTGCTCCGGTAATTGATCGCCGGAGTGAGGTCGCCATGTTCGTTGACGAGGCCACCGAGGTACCGGAATTCAGCCGTCTGGGCGTGGTGACCGTTAATTCAACGCGTTCGTCTTTCAAGCGGGAGCAAATCCGGCCACAAAAACAAAACCATGGCTGTTCACGGAGAACGTCCTTGAACTGACTCTACCATGGGAAAGTGCATAGTATATATTTCTTGATGTGCTACTAGATGTCGAAGCAGACTTCCTGATTCAGGGTTCCGCCCGCATGCAAAGCATTGCCGGGAGCGAAAGAGAAGAGAAGGAGACACGCCGGCAGGGGACGCACGGAAGGGCGGCAGGAAACACGCCGCGGAGTGTCGGCCTCCAAACGAACAGCACATGTATGCCAAAATGAACTCGCAACGAATAGCGCGGAAGTGTTGAGGAACTTACATAGGTCAACGTCGCAAATAGCCACAACCGCAGCGTGACGGCCTCGAAACGAAGAACACGTCAAAATGAACTCGCAACCAACAGCGCTCTATATGCTTCTGTTGAAAATGTTCGGTCAAAGTCACGAGGCAGGTGCCACAATTAACGACAGAACGTGCACCTCGACGATAAATGGAAATTCCCACGTGTAGATAAGAGAGTTTCGTCGTGCGGATCTCCCGACCTGTGCCACAGATGTTTTCTCCGCAACAAGATGGATTGTTCTCGTCAGCGCCCTCGAAGGCGAAGGTCAGGGTAATGTTCTCTTTCTTCGCTGGGACAAGAAACATGTATTTAACATGGACCACTACACACTGCATCTAGTGACGGAAGAGCAACGAATGCTATCCGACTCCGGCCTCCCAAATAAAAACAAGCGAGTACCCTCGCTCCCCTGCCAGCAAAGATACACCGTAATGGCTCACCTTCTTCGCTACTTGACAAGTTCATCCTCTTGATGAACTCGACAGCAGTGGAGAGGTAAGCGCATCCCTCTTCTCGCCCGCGTGTGCTTGAACCAAACATAGACGTGGGTCTTGAATACAGGTCGTCAAGGAGGAGACATTTTTCTCTTTTCACATGGGTGGCGGCGAAAGCCGCCGGGCAGTTTTGGTCTCGAGTGTTGGCCTTGGGAAGAATGGAAAGTTTCCGGACTTGGTGATCTTCCGCAGGCCCCTGCCTCTTGTTGATGGTGTTATTCTTGGTTGGTTCGGCCGCTTCCATGACAGCATGGTGTGCTTGGAACCGGTCAGGGGATTACTGAATTCGCTCTCCCCGCTTTATGTGAAGTTGGTCTTGATCATGTCCCGGACGCTTGCGATCGCGGAAGCTCCAGGCGATGCTCATGTTGAAATTTCGGGCCCCTGCCCGAGGAGTGTGTGCGAGGCCCCGCGTCCCGATGGTGGCGACGCGTAGTAGCGCCGATGATGATGGCGCGTAGGACTGTTGACAGCTGCTGCGCCGCAGCTGCTGCTCGTGGGCGGCCGTCCCAGCTTGCGAGAGCCGCACAAAACGGACAAACGTTCACTGGCCGCCCCCCCCTTCCCCCC